TTAGTAAAAGTAAAATAATAATCAAGAGCATGAAGAAAAACTTGAGTTGTAGCACCTCTTTCAAATGAAAAGGAAAAAAAGGAGAATGAATGAATCCATTCACAACATAAAGCACGAGTAATCTGGGCAGTGGCTCAACATTTCACTTTGCTCCAGATGATAAACACTACAATAATCCTCTTAAATGGGAAGTGTGCCAATGAGTACTATTAACAAAACCCTGCAGCATATGGTTCACAAAATAGCTCAGCTTTGACTTGGATTTAAAAAAATACCTAAATGTGGATGCATGTTTCGTTCTTTGGTGGTGTGAAGTCATTTCATGTGTGCATCAATCCGCAGCTCATCAGAGGACTTCTACATCAGTTTTGACAGTTTTACAACTTGTAGATTTGAGCCTCGTTTTTTTGGCGAATACCACAGACTGTTCCTGAAGTTACATAAGTCTGCACACAGGCTGATGATCGCACGATTGGGAGGAGACTACTGAGGCAACAGCCAGTTGACAGAAAGAATGCAAACCATTAATGACATGTAATAGTGCTGTCTTAATAGTAATTATCCTCATAAATAACACACAAGAAACCAGGAAGGAGGCTAATAAAGGCCTGAATGTCCACCTTACGCAGGTTTGCTTTAGCTACATTCGGCTACATTTGAATGTCCACCTTTAAAGGGGACATTTAGTCAGATGATGTTAGCTAGAACACAAACACACACATATAATATTGATGTCAATTCGTGTTTTTACTGTCCTGCTTTCCAGCCGTGCTGCGGCTAACCTCTGTAGCAGAGATGTGACAACCAGATAGCATCTTTTACTTCCCTGTACGTCGCCATTTTTTATTTACATGTTTTTGCCGTTCTGCTGTAAGCAAATAAAACGGTTTAATTGCATGCTACCTACTTGGTTCGGTTTAAAGGTCCACGGTACAGTCGAGCAGCGAGCTGAGGAAGCGGAGTGATGTCCGGTCTGAGCTGACAGCGGGTCCAAGCTCCGAGCAGAGCCGGCTGCCTCCTCCCAGAGCACCGGCAGCGGCCCCGGCCTATCAGTGGAGAGCAGTGAGCTGAGCAGCCAATCGGATGAGCCCACACAGCAGGAGGGGGCGGGGCTTTCAGTACGGCTCACTGACGGGTCAATTAAAGCGTGTGTTCACACCCACAGAGTGAATGTTTTTCAGTAAAAATAGTGGGTTTTTTAATTAACAAAAAAAAAAAAAAGTCTTGTACTTATTTATTTATTTTTATGTACAATTATTATTATTTTTGCTGTTTTTTTAAACCAATGTTTTATGGTTTACTACTATGGTTTACTACCACTCTGTTATCTTTAAATCTATTCGTTCTTTTTCCTTTTTTGTGATATGACATTTTAGGTGCTGTTATCATTTGACTTGATGCTATTTCTACAATTTT